ATTACCTGGAAGTGACTTCTTTTCACTTATTTCTTCTAAAGTATGAGATTATAATCAAATGGGGAGGGCAAATAAAAAACAATAAACCCCAAACTGACTTTTGTTTATTCAAGTTTKACTGTTTCTAAAGTGGAAACTTCAACATATTCAAAATTTGAGGAAAGAGTTATTTAGCTCAGTTTGTTAAAGCGACAGGAAGGAAACGATTCAACTTCAGCAAAAGCGGCTTTACCGTGAATTATATTTAAGTTTGTCAACTTTTACCTKTTTTTCGCTTGTTAAAATGAGGTGGAAAAACGTATTAGTTAAGTCTGTACAAATATACAACTAGTGCGAAAACACCGTGAAGCAAAGTTAACTCACCTGATGTGAACTGACAGCTGAGACACAGAAACAAACAAAAATATAAACTACTCCCTTTACGTCTCTATAAACACAGGCCGAGAGTCTKCAGCTACCTTCACAGAACCAGAAMATAAATCTGTGAGATCCAGCTGAGACCTGCTAGTAGAAAAATACACCAAAATAATTAGGAACGCAACATTTTTTAAAGCTCAACTGCTAGTTAGCATTAGCTGTTGCCATCCGTGCTGAATGTCTTCTTCTCTCCTTCAATCTGTGAACTGTTTGTTGTTTCGAACCGGCGCTGACCCCTAGCGGCCATCCGATGTATTGCAATAATAAATACATGAAGGTGCGCAGAAGAAATTGAAGGCCAACACTTAAAGTCACATGTATTGTGGACTTATATTACTTTAGACCAACTTTTCTAAGTTCAGCTTTACTGTGCTGAAGATTATGGAAAAGTGGGTTAAATTACATATCCTACAAGGAAAAACAAGAAAGCGGACTTCCAAACTACCAACTTTTAAAATGGCTGTTCCAACCTGTTCTATGTTTAACAAATATGAAATCTGAAACCATTTAAAATTTATTTCTGTTTACATCAATGGCTTCCTTAACCCCATCCGTCTTCAACAGCTAATTTAAACGCCGACTCTCCTGCGTTGTGTCAAGTGTCTGTGGTGAGACTGTTTAGTTTCTCCTATTCCGAGGTCTGAACATGGCTCCCTGTACTAAACTGCACATACCACCCTGTTTAAGTTATGTTGTGTTTGGAGAAAATGAATTTCTCACAGTACGCGTGGGATGACAAAGTCCAGCAAGAAGCAAAAATAAGTTGCCGATTTAAAGAAAAGTTGCATGATGTTGAAAATGTAACAATTTATTTATTTATTTATTGGTGGTGGTAGTGGTGGGGAGACTGGACAACAGAAACCACTGTCATCTTTTAACAGAGATCAGTCAACCAAGTTTGAATGATACATCTTACAGTTCATTCACATGCTGTTAGGAATGACAGCCTTTGAGAGAGACGATGTTTTCGTATTTAGACGTTTTCTTAAATATAGTTTATTCGCATGTCACTTTTTAGCAAGAAGGCAACACTTCCTCATCATAAATTACAAACTGTACAGATAYAAAACATAAATTACAACAAAAGATGAAAAACGGTTGTTTTTGCTAAAAAAAAAAAAAGAAGAAGAAGCTTTTTTTTTTGAGGTGGAGTGTGGTCCATTAATAAATAAAATTATTCTGATGCTGTTCTTGATAAAATGTCAAATGCTTTAATGCACAATAAACAATGTGCAGTTTTAAAACAAGTAAAACAAGAATCAAGACCTTCTAACAATAATATAATCAGTTTGAGTCATAATTAAAACATGCACAACATAAAGCACACCGTCTCTCCTGCAGCAGGTGCACTTCCTTCTTTTTGCAAACATGAACTGGAAAGAATGCAGACAGTCAGGTTTAACCGCACGGTCCGGACAATTATATTGTGTTTGTTCTAATGAAAGGCTGGGATTTATTATACGCCTGTCAATACAGCCTCAGGCATAGGCTGTCGCTTAGCTGAAATATCACTCTGTGGAAGTCGGCTGGCTTTGTTCCAGRCAAATATGACAAACAAAAATCAAATAAAATGTATCTCGCAAGACAAATAGCTTTAGATTTTATTTTGTCTTWTATTAATAATGTGTCAATATACAGATAAATGGATTGAACTGCCTCTGACAGAAAACATTTTATTTTGTGATGTCCTCACTGGTTTAAATGTCTGATATTTATCTTGATAGGTTATCTATACTGGCATCTTTGATGCTGCTGCTGCTGCTTCAGTGAAACAAAAACAAATGCACAATGACTCATTATTATAAGGAAAATCAATTCCTGCATTGATACAAGACAAATATTGTAGCATCTTAAAAATGGAATAATTCACACATGATATCGTTATCCAGGGCATTGAAGAACAACAAAACAATGTCCAAATGAGTTGAGAAAAAATAAGCCCATATTCAACCCCCCCAAACAACAACAGCAACAACAACAACAACAACAACAACAACAACAAGCAGAACAGAAGTTAAACAGGCAAAAAAGAACAATCAAAACAAACTAAAAAGATAAGAACACAAGCTGAATGGAACATGGCAAAATGATTGAAACACAACTACACCTTCAAATGACAACATCTGCAGCTAAAAGCTAAAATGATATTAAAATTATTAATAATAGTAATAAATTAAAAATAAAAACAATAAAAGCTAAAATTATCAAAATCATGGAAAAAAGCAAAAAATAAAAAACAAGCAAATTGTAAAAAAAAAAAAAACAGCTAAAATTAACAAAATATGATCTATAAACTAAAAGCAAAACCAGAGCAAGTTTGCTTAAGTAGTTTTCAAAAATAAAAATGTTTTAAAGAGATCTCCGTACATTTCTATAGGGATTTTTTTATTTGAAAATGAAATAAAATGAATAAAACCAAAAGCTAAAGCATCTTCATCCTTGAACTACTCAAACAGCACGAAGCATGCAGAAGTTTGATTGCATAAAACAGGTACAGAAGTAACCACTGAAAGAAGAACAACACATTTTCAGTCAGTTCAACCCACTCATTAAACAATACAATTATATTCAGTGTATTACAAAAATGCCACTTAGAGTGAATCTTCCCTTTGGCACATTTCCTTGAGAATGAAAGAGGCAGTGGTTTGACAGTGGTGAAGAACGTTTTTTTTTTAATCAACAAAAGAAATCTCATGTGCARCCAGAGCCAATCTCACAATGTTGCAAAAGAAAAACACAAAATGTTGCAATAAACAGTCTTTCTTCCGAGAAGCTAAAATCTCCAARCATTTTTCTTGTTTTGCATTTATTTATTACAAATCACCGATAAGAAGCAATGATCATCAATCTAATTTTAAACACACAACTATCTAGTTTCAAATATACACAAGCCACAACATGCCTCCCCTCACAGACTAATGARCGACAGAGTACAAAGTGAGGGAGTGTTTTTGTGTCACTGACATTTATCTTTGCTACAAACAGGAGCCGCAGACGGGCTTTTAACTTGTTCACTTCAAACAGACGGGCGCTGACCTCTGTGACAAAACACACATGACCATGATATTCATCATGAAACTGGTGCAGAAACTCAGCTTCAGATGTTATTTTTTAGAACGTGCAGARATGAGTCCATCACTTTGACTTCTTGTGCAAAAATATCTGCAGTGTTTAAATTATTTTGTGATTAATACTGTTGAGAACCTCAGCTTTCACTCTTGTTTTTAGTGTTCTTTAAATGTAATTTAAAAAAAACATTTTTTTCTGGAGMAGCAGAACCACCTCAGAACATATCTGAGTTTCCTCTATGTTTCTCTACAGTGTTTTTCCTTTTCTTTAATTGTATCATTTTTGAGTCTGTGAAATAAAACTGATTTGACAATTTGACAAAAAGCTCCAGATTTGTTTGATTTGTCCAAAGGATAATCTCCCAGAAGCTTCATAGCTCATCATTAAGCATTTTGGCASAGTTTTTATTTATTTATTTATTAATTTTATTTTTGGTTGTCTCATTTWTGTGGGCGATATAAATAGAGCAGATAACCAGCAGCACAGAAGACTTAACTAATCTTTACTGCATCTCTTATAAAGCTGAGAGAGTCAATAATATAATTTCTGTTGTTTTAGCTTTGTATAAGTAATTAAAGGTCATTAGTCAAATATGTTTAAAGTGATAGAACTTCCTAGAAAAAAAACTTCTACCCACAATACATTTCTGACAGCTTTAATTTGTGTTCATAAATGCATATTGACAAGCGGTATGAGGAAATATTAGGAAGTTGGGTTTTTTCCTGTCAGTAAAATTAAATGTTGACAACAAAACACTGTTATTTGTGAAACGACTTTCCTCTAAAGCCCAAAAGTCTGACTCACATTGAGTTGTCTGTGACGTTACAGATGTGCTCCTTAGGCTTTCAAAGTCTTTAGTAATCAGAAGTCTCACGGTACGTGTTGAAGGTGTTGTTTCTAAAAGTGTCTTGAAGAATGTGGGTGGAGAACTTGTATTCCTAATATTTATGAACACCAGATTTTTCTGTAGCCTTTTTTAAAAACGTCTTTAGGCTGACACAATTTCTCGAGAAACACACCGATATTGGAAAATTAATAGCCATTACAAAACTTAATAAAACAGTCAAAGATATAGCTTTGGTGAAAAACGTATAGATATGGCATGTTTTGTATTTTACCCAAAGCTAAAAACAAAAAATCTACAGAAGCCGACAGCAGACAATCTCCGCTGATCATTTTTTAAAATGGATATATTATGTTGTTACCATCAAATAAAGAATTTTCTTGAAATAACACTTTAATTTCTAGATGGTTTTCTTGAGATAACGAGTTATGGTTTTCCTCTTGTGCATCATTCRGTAACCATRGACAGAGCCCGGTCCCCTCAGCTCGCCGATGGAAAAACATTAGCAGAACATGCGCACTTGGCTTCTGTAAAAATCACCCTTAAGTACGGTAATAGTAAAACTAGCATTCTTTGAAAAAATGTATTTCATCCAACACCTTGCATACAAAAGTTTTGAGCAAAGATATTCTGTGATTTGTTAGTGTTTGAAATATACAGCAGGTAAAATAAGTATTGAACATTTCACCATTTTTCTCAGTAAATATATTACTAGAGGTGCTAATG